GTGTATTTTTGTGGAGAGGTGGCTGCCAAGGTAGCGGAAATGGTCAACATTTTCTAATGTTACACCATTAAGCTGTATTTCTGGCATTGGAGAGGAATTGGCTGGTGACTGCTGGAAGAGCACTTTGGTTTTCTCGATGTTCAATGACAAGCTGAGCTTCTCGTATGCTTCTGCGAAGGTGTTTAGAGTGACTTGTAGGTCTTCTTCTGAATGCTCATAGACAGCGTTGTCATCAGCATATTGGAGTTCTATTACAGATGTTGTAGTAACCTTGGTTTTGGCTTTCAGTCTGCTGAGATTAAATAGCCTGCCATCTGTCCGATAGATGATTTCCACTCTGGCGGGAAGCTTCCCGTCAGATGAAGTATCATAGCGATGAAGATGGAAAATAAAGTTGGGGCAATAACACATCCCTGTTTGACACCTGATTCCACCTTAAACGGGTCACTTTGGGAGCCATTGCTGTCCAAGACTGTTGCCATCATGTCATCATGGAGGAGCCGCAGGATGTTCATTAAATTGATAGGGTACCCAATTTTTTGGAGGATGGTCTCGAGAGCACTACAATTCACTGTGTCAAATACCTTTGTAAGGGCAATGAATGTCATGTACAGAGGCTGATTTTGTTCCCTGCATTTTTATTGGAGCTGTCATGCAGTGAAAATCATGTCCACTGTTCCAAAGGGCGGGTAATAGTTTTATAAACAAGCACCTTGGTATCCCTACAGATGTCCCGGTCCTCAAACACTCTCTGCTTCATTCAGAAAAATGCTGCACTCGCAGAGCTCCAGCTTCACACCTAGCTCCAGCAGACAAAAGTCCTTTGTCCCACCCTGGTCATTACACAGATATATAAACCCATTTTCCTACTTCCAACAGACCTCACTACCTCTGAGGATGCTTGCCATAGATGCAGGCGAAACGTCAGGAGAAAATGCCTCTAGACAATGGCCATATAGCCCGAAAAAACCTACAACAACCCAGTGATTCCAGCCACGAAAGCCTTCGACAATACATAAAAAATTAAGGCTTCTTTATTGGCATTGTCTCTTAATAGAAGTCAGAGTCGCAATATTTTTGGAACTGAAAATATGATGTTTGAAACACACTTGGCAATTGCTTTAATTGCAGTGTGGAGGACTGCAATTAAAGCAATTGAATGCCTGTTCCTTTAGCAGGGATATTGCATGTAAAAGCAAATTAGGTGAGCTTTCTCCCCATCATTTGCTAATGTTTAAAAAAATTCTCACATTTCTCTGGTTTTTAAATCAATTAAATGATATAGGAAGTAGTAGTGTCAGTGGCACTTAAAAAAATTCCAAAACGTCAAGGCATTGCACAAATAATTTATGGAAAAAATATTTCAAAGAGGAAGACATTGGAATACTAAATTACATATCTGCCAATATGGTTTGTTTTCTTTAGACAGAAAATCAAGTTACCATTTCCAAAATAACACTGAATCATTATTTAGTGATATTTCAGAAATAGTAACTCAATTTTCTGGCCTGCTTATGTATCTTCTTTCTATTTTTATGACTATTCCATAAATTATTCCAGGATTTCACTCCAGGCTTGCACAATTCTGTCAATTTCATGTGTCATAATTGACACATGCAGCTTCTCCTGTGTACATACAATCTGAACTGTCTCTTTTTCAGCTCATACTTCCTTGGGTTTTCTCCAAAATTAGTGTTCAAATAGGCTGAGATCGTAAACTTCTTTGCTAGATGTAAATCCGAATTCACTGGAACTGTTATTTTATTACTGCTTTTTTTTTCTTATGTAATTTTGGATGTTGTTGTTATTTGTTGTTTATGCTCTGATTTTATTGCTGTAATATGTTGTCCGGGCTTGGCCCCATGTAAGCAGCTCCGAGTCCCCACTGGGGAGATGGTGGCGGGGTATAAATAAAGATTATTATTATTGGGTTGTTGTAGGTTTTTCCGGACTATATGGCCATGTTCTAGAGGCATTCTCTCCCGACGTTTTGGCTGCATCTATGGCAAGCATCCTCAGAGGTAGTGAGGTCTGTTGGAAGTAGGAAAATGGGTTTATATATCTGTGGAATGACCAGGGTGGGACAAAGGACTTTTGTCTGCTGGAGCTAGGTGTGAATGTTTCAGCTGACCACCTTGATTAGCATTTAATGGCTTGGAAGTGCCATTGGATTATTATTATTATTATTATTATTATTATTATTATTATTATTATTATTCCTTCTGAACCATGTTTATTAGACTTGTACTAGATGGTACTTTAACAATGGCATAGCGATCAGAAAGAGGAAACATTATTCTGGCTACTTTATTGACATAACTTTGGAAGTACTTTAATAATTTCTGTAATTAGCTCTGACAGTCATGACAATGCATACTAACAAAATAAATTACAGTTGTACTCATGTAAATGTAAGAGCTATTCTACTTAATCACTGCTCCCTATTCTTGCACTCTGCTTTGATTCAGTTATTCCCCTTGCATGTTTGATGATTTATTGAAGTTAAACACTTATAGAATCATAGAATCATAGAGTTGGAAGAGACCTCATGGGCCATCCAGTCCAACCCCCTGCCAAGAGGTAGGAAAATTGCATTCAAATCACCCCCGTCAGATGACCATCCAGCCTCTGTTTAAAAGCCTCCAAAGAAGGAGCCTCCACCACACTTCGGGGCAGAGAGTTCCACAGCTGAATGACTCTCACAGTCAGGAAGTTCTTCCTCATGTTCAGATGGAACCTCCTTTCTTGTAGTTTGAAGCCATTGTTCCACGCCCTAGTCCCCAGGGCAGCAGAAAACAAGCTTGCTCCCTCCTCTCTATGACTTCTTCTCACGTATTTATACATGGCTATCATGTCTCCTCTTAGCCTTCTCTTCTTCAGGCTAAACATGCCCAGCTCTTTAAGCCACTTGTTCTGGTACATCTGTACCAGGAGCTCCAATTTTGTTTGCTTTGCATTGAATGTTTGTTTGCAGTCCTAAGTTTCAGGGACTCTGCAGATAGGTGGCTTCTTTTGGTTGCAGTTATAGGGCAAGCTTCCTGCTCATCATCATTAAGTTTTGGTCCCGCCCCTTGCTCAGGGCAATTGGGAAGGGAAGGGAGCCATTTTTTAGTTAGTCTCAGCAAGGAAAGCTATGTACAGGGTGTGTGTAAACTTCCCCTGTACAAAAGCTTCAACCTTTAAGAACTCCAGGGAAGCATCCCCACAGCTTTAAGAATTTCCAGGGAAAGAATGTCCAGGGAAACAGCCCTAAAGACCAAAGAACTCCAGCTGGAGAACATCTACTGCCTTGCTGGTAGGTCCACTCGGCGTTCGAGACGCAGTTCGACCCGGTAGCGGAGCCCACATCAGTAAGGGTTAGATTACAGTCAGCCTGGGAGAAGTTAAAAAGGGGATTTTCCTTTAAAGAAGAAGTTATTGAAGACAGTTGCCTGTCCTTCATGGGCAAGATTAGGAATTCACCAGTTGCCTAAAAGCTTGGAATCATTTGCTTAACTTTACTGAAGACAAGAGAAGTTTCTGTTTGATTGTTCATTAATAAAAGACTTTGTTGTACTTCTCAAGCCATCTAAAGACTGTTTGTGGTGGAAACCTCTGAGAACTTCTCTTTAGGCCCCCTGGCTTCCCGCTGGGCAAAGGTTGCACATCCTGTTTTAAAGACAATTATTTACAGGCCCAGCGCGCAACAGAACACCCCTCATCATAGGGCTTGTTCTCCAGATCAGTTTAATTGCCCTTCTCAGGACACATTCCAGCTTATCAACATCTCCCTTCAATTGTGGTGCCCAGAATTGTATTCCAGGTGTGCTCTGACCAAGCTAGAATAGAGAAGTAGCATGACTTCCCTGAATCTGGACATCATGCTCCTTTGACATTAGGCCAAAGGAAACATTGTGAAATCACAAACTTCGGTTGTGTCATTAGAACTGGGCAAAGTTTAGTAATGAAAGGAAAATCCCTTTGTTGTTGCTGCCACAGATACAATTTAGGAAAGGACTGTCAAAATTATTTGCTGATTAATTAAATAAATGAGGAAACATGATGCTAGTATTTTAAGTAGAAATTAGATATAGGTGTAATTTCATACAAAAGACAAAAATCAATATGGCAATGATTTAAGTCAGGGTTTCTGGCCACTAATTAAAATGTTTATCTGAGTGTATCACTTTGACAAATATCAGAATGTGGCAAGCATTTCCTCCGGGTCTAAATAGAAATAATAATAATAATAATAATAATAATAATAATAATAATAATAATAATTATTATTATTATTATTATTATTATTTAGGGCTTTTATATCCTGTCCTTTCCCAACCTCCGCTTTCTGGCGTTTGTCATGACTCTTTCCAGCATAGCAGGCGTTAAGTTGGCAATTTCTTCCTGGATGTTGGTCTTCAAATCTTGTAGGGTCCTTGGATGGTTCACATAAACACGGGATTTCAAAAAACCCCATAGAAATAAAATCACAAGGAGCCAAATCTGGAGAGCGGGCCGGCCACTCCAAATCCGCTCGAAAAGTAGGTCTCAATGGCAAAAGCATGCTCCTCACTGTTCCAACACATGATGGCAACTGAACTGTGTCAAGACAAAACTTTATACTCCCGCCTCTCGAACGAGACCACTAGCACTCAGGCCATCCAGTCCAACCCCCTGCCAAGAAGCAGGAATATTGCATTTAAATCACCCCTGACAGATGGCCATCCAGCCTCTGTTTAAAAGCTTCCAAAGAAGGAGCCTCCACCACACTCCGGGGCAGAGAGTTCCACTGCTGAACGGCTCTCACAGTCAGGAAGTTCTTCCTCATGTTCAGATGGAATCTCCTTTCTTGTAGTTTGATGTCGTTTCTATTCGTAATATTGTACCAATGCAAGTAAAATCCTTTATGTTAGGATTAAATTTCATTCAATATTGATAAGAATAAATTACTGTCTACTTCTGCCAGGTAATAGTAGCTTTCAGGAGAATATAAACTCAATTATATCTTTTTCTCTTTTCAGAGGTGCATTTTCTGAAGTTGTTTTGGCTGAGCACAGAACTACTGGAAAACTATTTGCTGTCAAGTGCATACCAAAGAAAGCCCTGAAAGGGAAGGAAAGCAGCATAGAGAATGAAATTGCAGTTCTCAGAAAGTAAGTATGAACAATGTTTTTTTCCCCCTGTGGTTGCCTGAACATTTAGGGTTATCCTCCAAATCCTGTTAAAATGAGCAAAAGGGTGAGGAAGATCACATCTTGTTGTGGGAACACAATGAGATCCTGTTTTCATTTCCCTGCTGGCTCAGAATAAACTGATTTTGATTCATTTTGACTTTTCCATTTGAGAATAAAACTGGGTGATGTTGGTGATAGAGTTGCCAGTTGTGTGTCATTTGTACAGGGTGAGGCAGCATAACTTCCTTTTTTCAAAACTTAATAAAACCCATTGTATGAATCAGTAAAAAAAATATATAATGTAGGCGCATACCTAAAGTTTTGTTTTATGTAGTTTTAAAGATCAAATTAGGTAGGTGATGTCCCCCATTCTCCATACCCTGAGTAAACCGATTTCTGGCATTTGTCATGACTCTTGCCAGCATAGCAGGCGTTACGTTGGCAATTTTGTTGCACTTTATCTCACAATTCAGCAGCAGATCAGTTGCACAATTTCAGCGCTTTCCAGTAGCTTCTTCCTGCACAGTATTTTCAGTCAACTGCTCCCACAAACTGCAGTCACTCTGGAACTCTCCACAGACACTTGAGCACATGCCCGGCTATTGTCAGTTTTACTATTGTTTTCCCCTCCAATCTAGATGACACTACAAACTTCCCACAGCACACGGTTATGTCTTGTCTTAGCAGACAGGTTCCTTTAATACATTACACAGAGCCTTCAGCAAACAGCATCACAGCACAAGGAGAGAGAATACACTGTACATGACTTCCTTATATACAATTCTGTATCTTTACACATAGCAATCTCTGATTGGTTCCCAACTCATTGACTTAACTCAAACCCAGGATTGCATCATTCACAATCACCTGGACCAGGCCAGAATACATTCCCCAATTGATTCCCTATATACAGTTAATGCATAACTCAGCATTTCCAATAGAAGCCTATTAGCAGTGCATGACTCAGCTATATTACATTACAATACAAATTTCTTCCTAGATGTTGGTCTTCAAATCTTGTAGGGTACTTGGACAGTTCACATAAATACAGGATTTCAAAAAACCCCATAGAAAAAAATCACAAGGGGCCAAATCTTGAGAGTGGGCTGGCCACTCCAAATCTGCTCGAAAAGTAGGCCTCAACGGCAAAAGCACGCTCCTCACTGTTCCAACGCATGATGGCGACTGAACTGTGTCAGGACAAAACTTTATACTCCCGCCTCTCGAACGAGACCACTAGTGCTCCACTACGTCTTCAACCGACTGAATGGCGCGCATTTTAAAAAAGGAAGTTATGCTGCCTCGCCCTGTATGTTCTAACAGTGCTTAAAATAAAGCAGGCTTTGTATATTTGTTTTGTTCTTTTACAAGAAGCAATCATTTGTGTTTGTAAAAGCTATCATTATGAATTACATTGTAACATGATTTTTGTTCCTGGGTTATAAATGTCATATCCTAATTGGTTCTAACATAAAAACATGGAAAAAGTTTATTAAAGTTTTTGTTTTTGTGGGACATCCTGCAGCATATTTTGCTATAGTTTTTCAATTGATATCTCATAGAGTCTCAACCAATTCAACATAGTTCTATCATAGTTCTGTCAGAACTAGACAGATCTGACTCCAGAATCTGAAGCAGATATAACTCCTTGTTGTGGATTCTTTTCAGAATGAGCTTATGTTAAGGACAGATGTAGGATAATAAATTTCCAACAGACTCCATCACGTCCCCAAATTTGACCTCTACTAAAATTTGTTTATAACTACAGCAGCACAATATTATTTCTCCATACTCTCTTTCCACAAATTCTTCCTATACCTAAGACCTTGACATGTAGCTGCCAAACTTGTCTACATATTCAGAATACTTTTCAGTATATGCTTCTAAATTTAGATGTATACGTATGCAGATACTTTTCTACTTTCAGGAACTTGCTGAATGCAGCCTGGCTGGGGACTCCTCTAAATGCCTTGCTTCTAAATAAAAACTCTAGATCTTGTCTGGGTGACAATACAGTAAATGCAGATACAATTAACTGTTGCAAATGATTGGTGTATAACCTGAACCATAATGAACTATTGGATGTTTTTACATCCTAGGGCTATGGGACCCTTTGCAACCTTATGTCTCTAGTTTTAAATCAGAATCTGTGGTATTCCAATTTAAATGGGTCAGTTACTTAAATATATATTTATATTTTTGGCTGAAATTACACTTAAAACGTACCTGTTCCAACTTACATACAAATTCAACTTAAGTTCAAACCTACAGAACCTACGTTGTTCATAACTTGGGGACTGTCAGTACTCTAGAGTATTTTGCTTAGTGTAGAAGCACCCATGGTTTAATCTGTATCTAAGGCAGTGCACTAGAATGTATCAATGGGTCAATAATAAGTATACAACTGTTCCCCAACATTTGCTATATTGCCTGGCTTGATAATCATATTTGGTGAATAGTCAATACATGAGATACCTATTATAGAAGAGTATAAATATTATATAATTTTTGTAGTGGTTTTCTCCTACTATCATCTTTTCTTAGGAGATATATTCTATGGAGTATTCAAAACAAGATTAAACAGGGCCTGGAAAAGTCTCCTTTTGGACTACAGTTCCCTAACTCCTTCAGAAGCATAGCCACTGGTCATGTTGACAGGTATCCTGGGAGCTATAGTCCAAAAAATAGACGTTTCCAAGCTTTTATAACATAAGATTGAGAGTGATTAGCCCAAATTCATACTGCTAGTTTTATGACTCATTGAGAACTAAGACCTGGAGGTCCCATCTCAGTTCAGTGATCTGTTACACAATAATGATTCTGTTTAAATTTAATTTCTTCAATATTACTGGTAATTTAGAATGATGCATTCTCCAATATCCGTATATGTCATCCCATTTTTTTCCTACCCAGCAAAATGGTTCTCCTTTCTACAGGGTGCAGCAGCATAAGTTCTTTTTTTCAAAACTTAATAAAACCCATTGTATGAATCAGAATTTTTTTTATAATGTAGGCGCATATCTAAAGTTTTGTTTTACGTAGTTTTGAAGATCAAATTAGGTAGGTGACGTCCCCCATTCCCCATACACTGAGTAAACTGATTTCTGGCGTTTGTCATGACTCTTGCCATCATATCAGACGTTATGTTGGCAATTTCTTCCTGGATGTTGGTCTTCAAATCTTGTAGGGTCCTTGGATGGTTCACATAAACACGGGATTTCAAAAAACCACATAGAAAAAAAATCACAAGGGGCCAAATCTGGAGAGCGGGCCGGCCAGTCCTAATTCCCCCCTAATTGAGACGAGGCGCTCTGGGAAGTGTTCCCTCAAAACAGCCGTCGATGCTCTTGAAGTGTGTGCAGTGCACCGTCTTGTTGGAACCAAATGTCCCCTAAGTCCAACCCATCTAGCCGTGGGGAAAAAATTCCTGTAACATGTTTACATACTGTCACTGCGACTTCATTTTCCTCAAAGAACCAGAGACCAATAATTCCAGCTGAGGAACTTGCACACCACACTGTGATTTTAGGTCAATGCAAAGGCCTTTGATGCAATTCTCGAGGATTGTTGTCAGCCCAGTAGAGCATGTTTTGTTTGTTGATGGATCCACACAAATGAAAATGGGCTTCATCACTAAAGAAACAGCAGCGTCCTCAGGAACGACTTTGAGAAGAACCTCATATGCGTTCCTCCAAGAATTGAAGTCACGTTCAGAAAGTTCCTGCACAATTGCCATCTTGTAAGGATGGAAATGAAGATCATCCTGGAGAACGATCAGAAAGTCCAAGGGCAGACGCATGTTTGCGCGCAGAACGCCATAGTGATTGCAACATTGAAGCTCTCACTGCCTCAATGTTCTCAGGTGATCTAATGGGCCGAGGGACTCCAGTTCTTCGTCTTGTCGCACTTGCAGTTTGTCTGAATGTAGTGACCCACGTCACAATTGATTTGCGGTCCGGGACAGGGGCCAATGGGGCTAAATTAAAGCGAATCCAAAAGGCGCACTGGGTTGTGATCACAGAACATCTGCTTGAAAAGTAGGCCTCAACGGCAAAAGCACGCTCCTCACTGTTCCAATGCATGATGGCGACTGAACTGTGTCAGGACAAAACTTTATACTTCCGCCTCTTGAACGAGACCCCTAGCGCTCCGCTATGTCTTCAACCGACTTTTTTTTTTGTCGTGTCAGGAGCAACCGCTCCTGTTGTGAGAGAATTGGCCGTCTGCAAGGACGTTGCCCAGGGGACGCCTGGATGATTTTTGATGTTTTATCATCCTTGTGGGAGGCTTCTCTCATGTCCCTTCAACCGACTGAATGGCACGCATTTAAAAAAAGGAAGTTATGCTGCCGCACCCTGTATAATCTGTGTTTATGCAAACATAAGGGCTCACAAATCAACTAACTTTGTTCTTTTAAAATGTAAATAGTTATTGATATTGAGCCCATGATTACCTTTCCTCTCTTCCCAAAAGACAGCTTTTCGCTTTAGAAAGGCACAGTTTTGAGGTAGAACTTATCTCTCATACTCATTATGATGCTATTCTCCAAGGTATTGTGCACACTGACTGAACTGGATGTATTTTACAAGTCAGTTTTCAGAGTTTTGGTAGCACATGGCTCACAGCTTGAATGCAACCCCAGAAAGCTGTTTCTTTGTGGCACTCCAATTATTATTATTATTATTAACTTTATTTGTACCCCGCTAGCATCTCTTGAAGGACTCGATGCGGCTTACAAAGGCCAAGACCTCAAAATACAACATAACAATACAACCTAAAGCAAATTAAAACAATTAAAGCAATATTAAACAACAAGCAATAAAACAATACACCAGGACACAATAAAACTGGGCCGGGCCAGAGTAAGGCACATGTAAAAAAAATGGTTTAAAATTAGCCATTGGAAAACTTCATAGCAATAAGCATATTCTTCCTGTTCTAATGGTGTTAGAAGTACCATGATTTGGTGCTAAATTTTG